GCCTTCTTGCCCTGGTGGTAAAAAATAATCTCTGTACAATTGCGTTTTTTGTTTCCTCCCATGGGTTTGTAACAACATGATCATTCACCTCAATCTTGTGGAGAAGTTGTGTGGATTAATCGAACGAGAAAAAATGGCGTCCATCGGTATAAAATTTAGGAATCTACACAGCGCTGTGCAAATCTTGTTTTCGCAGAGTAGATTGCAGGTAAAATCCTTTTTGAAGGTGTACGCTGATGCACTTGTACCAACCTAATTACTTTCTTCTAGAGGCAATCTGTGCCAGTCAACAAGTTAATTTGGAAAGTGTGATTCATCTATGCCCATCAACCCATACACAAATCAATGCTCCGTATTCCCTTCAAGCAAAAGTCGCTCGCAGTGAATGATCTAATCGGTCTTATTTCGTGAGAGGGAGTGGTTTACCTTTTACTTTTACCGACCCTACGACAAAATGTTGCTAGACAAACTTCATGTTCTGTTTAACAATACTAGATTAATCGCAGTAATGTGACCTTCCATAAGACCTGCAGTACAATAGTCACCTTGTAAAAGCCACTTGTGTCCTCCACGAAAATCACCACCATTACTAAGGATAGAACTCTTCCGTTGTAAAGAACTCCGCCCACAAACAACTTCAAACAGCACCACGAACTGGAATTTGAGTCGAGGCCAGTGTTTGACTCCGTTAATAATCCGTTCGCCACCATAAAAACATCGCCTGCCTCAGCAAATGTTTTTGCACGAACGTTTCTAACACCAAAAGAGTTTCTCATGTCGTCACAATGTTTAAGCAAAGTGACCAACAGCATTCCGTACGCTGTAATACACATTAAAACGCTTCAAACGTCATTGTTGGTCCATAAGATCGCCATTGTGGTTACAACTTTTCAAACCGAATTGGAGCGCTCTTGGATACACTTGAATCCGCTTGTCATTATCGTCATTAACAAAGATCACTCCAGGAGTGATCGGTCCGTATCCTGGTAACGAAATAACAACCCTCTTACCAGGCAACTCAGCTGATTGCTAATTGCCTTCTCCTCTGATGAGGAATCCAGGGCGAGAGAAATCATCCGTTAGTGAACCTGTCACAACCACTGGCGGTGCTGCATCAAAACTGCTGAATTCAATTTACCGGCTCTCTTATCATGCTTTGTCAAACGACCCAGGCTAGATTTGTCACCTTGTAGTGGTCGGTCTATACTGGCTGGTACAACCATGCCAGGAAGGCCAATTGGGAGCAGGCCGACGGAAAACAGCGAGTCCCCGTACTGTGAGTAATCGCATTACGAGATGGTTTGGAGGTAAGTCGTACTCTCCTCTGCAATAGGGTGTGAAGGCAGTGAGGAGTTTCTCACAGACGACCAGCATGCCCATATTTATAGAAGCAGCGGTACTTCCTTATCCAAAGGAAGGACGGATTAGAGATTTACCCTAAAAACCTCACTCCGATCGCCTCAAGGTTGACCGTAACCGCCGGCTCTTGTTCGATACGATCGGAATACTTTTAAAACCAGATTTCGGTTCTACTCAAAAGGCACCTGCTGTCCCCAGATGCATTAGAAGTGAGACGGTAAGGCCTTGGGTCAGACCGGCCCCGTGCAACCAAGTGGCTCCGGGAAGGGTGTCCCAAGAAAACCCTGACAACCACTTTCTCGAGGTTCAGAACTTTCGAATCAGCGGCTTGAGGCAGGGTCCCCGAACAAAGGTCCAAGGTAGGGTACCTCAACTAAACCCTGTTCGCACTTACAGCTTACCGGTCTTCTCCCACACTGCTTCCCCACCCATCGAACAGTGCAGTAAGATGAAACCACATGCCAACGCCCTAGCCGTGTCTAAATCTTCGGCCAGAAAAATAAACCAAAATAATAACTTACTAGCCTCGAAAGATCTAATTCACGTTGCAGCCTTTAACGTCCATACTCCATGTCAAAATGTGCAACAGGCATCTGTCGATATATGTGTCCCCGAAACACGCATACAAGACTCCACTTCGGTCGTACACCTTAAGTCGCTTCGGACGAGCTCAGATGTTCCACATTTCACTATTCGGGTATCCGGTGATCCTGACGGATGGATCTTGGTATCTACGGTGTTGCAACCAGCTTCAAGGTTCAAGGTGTCTTACTGTACTGAGGCTATCAGTTACGGATGGAGAGCGTCAGTTACAGATTATGGTTCATTTTAATGTGTGTATCTTGACTCTGATCATTCTATCGTGCAGGCCCAGCTCTCACTTCCCTTTCTGTCAGGATGGCACGTTCCACGGCAGTGTAACTGAATTAATCAACTCCCACAACTTTCAGTAGCTGAAGAGTATCGAGCTGTTGTGTCTAGAAAGCCTACTGAAAACGCACAGTCATGCATAGGACGAAGACTGGTTGAAGGTTGAGTGGACGCCAGTCGAAGAAGGTATGCTCTCGGCTTCCAGAACTGTTTGTCTAGGCCATCCGACTCGACTAAATGAAAACTGAATGTCGTCAAGATCAGCAAATCTAATTGCTACAAGAAAGACCATACCAGAAACTAGCGGCTCTAATGGCACACATGGATCCCTCAAACACCGGATAATCAGAAGCTTGAAGAATGACGGAGAACGCTGGTGAACTTTGAAGGCCCGGAAGATGGAGAAGGCTTTCGCTGCAGGCAACAGTCGCGCCCTGTTTCAACTGATTCGACCAACCGGTCAAAAGAAAGCAAATATCAGTGAAACAATATGCAAAAAAGACGTCCTGAGCGCTGGGCTAAGCACTTCAAGGAGCAGTTCAGCTGGTCTCCTTCAGCGCAACCGCTGGAATAGCCCAGCTGGACTGAATAGAACGTTGGCACCAACCCGCCATAAGCAACCGAAATCCAGCATGATATTCCAATCCTGAAACGCGACAAGGCACCTTGACCGGATGGCCAGCACCCTGCACTCTTCCAAGAAGGTGGAAATGTCCTGGTGAACAGTCTGACAACCATACTGCACAAGATTTCGAACAAAACAGAATACCAGATGAATGGGACCCCTCGACCGTCATCACAGTTTTCGAAAATGGCACAAGAAAGTCATGGGAATAGGCATCATTCTTGTATCCGTCGCATCTAAGTTGCTCTATGGCATTCTTTTGTGCAGGCTAATCGGTTATCACGAGAGACATTCGTGAGGATCAAGCTGGGTCTCGCCCTGGTCTAGGATTCATCGTTGGTCGTTCTTGATCTGAGGGCCGCTTGTGATCCTGTCTATCGTCAAAAACTGATGATCAACGGAGAGTCCCTTCCAAATCCATATCCCTTATAGGGGCACAGTATGTGAACCCCCTTGGGCGCTTCCGAGTATACGGCAAGCTTTCGTCTGAATTCATCATGTCCAATGGTGTTAGAAAAGGCTCCCATCTCTCAAATTTCCTCTTGAATTTTATGGAAATGCCGCTTGGAATTTCTGTCTGCCTCTGAAACTTCGGTTGTCGAAATGCTCCCGGGACGTTCACTCGTGGACATAGAGTGTGCGGACGATATTACCCTCCTTTGTTCAGATCCTTCCCAAATGCGAACTATTTTAAATAACCTAAATAACTGCCTCATGGTTTAGTGTACGCTTCATACCTGAAAAATGTAAAGTGCTTCTACAAGACTGAATGGGATCAAATTCAAACCTCATGGTTGCAGGCGAGCTAACTGACATGGTAGGTGAATGTTATTTACCTGGGCAGCTGCATAAATTCCAGTTGACTGGCCGAAGATGCGATTACTTCAAGAATCGGGAGGCCAGGGCAGATTTCACCAACCTCCGACACCTATGACGCTGACATGACATGAGTTTGTCTGTCAAGGCAGAGTTTACACTGAGTCAGTGTAATCCATGGTGATTTATGGATCAGAGACGTGGCATCTACGGGCAGAGGACGAAAGAAAAGTGTCAGTGTTTGACCATCGGTGCCTCCGAAGCATTGGTCAGGTCTTATGGGGAATATCGGATTTGTGGTGCTGAGGTACGCCAGGTGGATACATTGAATCCGCATATGACTATCATCGCCTTATTCTTCTTATCTGAACCTCGATACACAGCTTATAGCTGAATAACTAACTAACTTTCTGGGTCCGTGAAGGGGGAATCACATGGGGTTGAAACCTGCGTATTTGGAAATAACGAATTTGACCATCGTGGATGAGTTTCTATCCTGTGTTGGCTGTTATAGATCGTCAAATGGGGTTTCGAGGTAATTCCATGTAAATATGCGTACTACCTTGTGAACTTTACCAGCAGGTGTCCAACCAGGTCGCACTTTAGGGATTATTTATCCCAGTTGCCGCGATCTGATGTGATAATTGCCTGAAAATTTTTAGTTACAAAAGGGGCGTGAAAAACATGGCAGGTGACCAAAGTTAATGAAACTTTACATCGTTTGAGTGCCAGCATGAATTTGTTAGTTTCGGTTGTTAGCTCGTCTCATCCGGAGCAATTTAAATCCCGAATACTGGAAAACCGGTCTGCGTTTACTAGTTAAATGTATGTTGAGTGACGCGGAGAACAGCTATAATTTTTGCCCATTGGAGATCGCTTAAAAAAAAAGAATTGTCTTTTTGAGAGAGCTGTATCTACACAACACAGCAACTGGAGTATGTGGATTTCTAAATGTTCCGGCCTACTCATCTGGATTACAGTTTTGGCAAATGCTGATACGAAGGTGCGGTCATAATCGAGTGTCACTTAATTGTACTACAATTCGGCGACACATGTCAGCGTTGGCCCATAGTAGTCAGAGATAGTCGTAGATGTTTCTTACGGGAGGAAACTACAGAGGGTACCAATTGGTACTGGTCTTTTGAAACGTATTTCAGTGATGACCTCCCTCCGGTAAAAGCCCACCTTTTGTTGGTTCTTTAATGTGGCTTCTCTGGGAGGAGTCAGCTGTACTTTTGCGTTAGATCAGCGCTTCATTCACGTGTCCTGGAAATACGGTAATAAGCTGGAGGTAACAAGGGTGCGTAAGTTGACCACACTACTGACCAGACTCTTGAACGTCTTCACCACTAACCGAGAAGCCGCGGATATGAGTCACCTTAGTGACTCGTGAGCTGCACACTGCTGATGATTACCAACAAGGTTGAGGCATTTGACTGACCTGGCCAGTGAGACCCAAGACAACTAGACTACAACGCAGTACAGATCAGGAAGGAACGGGCCAAAGATTGAAATAAGGGAGGCTTAGATAACCTACTAAACACAAAGAGGACTGTCCACGATGCAATACCAGCGGTGAATAAAGCAAAAAATGGCGCGATATTTGTCCTCCGATCGGCCCCTGACACCAAGAGGTATGGAATAATATTTTGAAAATCCGTTGAAACAATTATTTGAGAAGACACCTCCCGGTTACAGGTGAGACTTGGGAAGACAATTATCGACCCTGATCGGATCGACAGCTGAATTTTTTTGGGAAGCTTCGAGTTCCCAGTTGTCGTATCCGGTTTCAATCTGGTTACGTCAGAAAGTACGAGACCCAACTAAAAAGTACTATCAGCTCCTTTGTCTGGTCTAAAATCCGTGGTTGCCACCATGTTTCGTATTTGTTTGATGACCTGGTAATATTCTGGGTCTAGACACAGTTCCGCAGATTTGTGGATGATAAGATCCATTCCGAGATGCTTGCCAATTCAGTTTTAGAACAGTCTTTTCAAAGCAAATAATCACTGGGTGCTCTACTTATTCATACAAATCCTCAACCAGAATTGCGTCTGTGGTCGATTTTCCTTTTGTGATGATAATATAAACTACAATCCTCAGGATAAGACTTTCAACTGAACTGGGCCTAACTGTCAGGTCATTGTAGATTTCTTGGCGTCTTCTGTTATTTTCCACGCTTGTCTTCAGATAAGACTTAAAATTTATACAACTTACCAGAGACAAATTAGTAAGACTATATGCAAACCTTTGTTCATTTCTTGGGGATTCGTTCAGCTGTTCATGGGAAGCCTCGATAGGCGATATTGGCGAAATTCGTCGCATTTCTTCGGATTTTTTTCTTCTGCTGCGACCTGCGGAATTAAATCCAAATTGGCCTGACCAAATACCCGAGGTCCCATAAATCTTGCTCTGTAGCACAGAGATAAGTGCCTTTTAAAAATGCCAGTGGTATGTGTGGAGAGCCTTCGTTTGAGAGACTCGAAACCATGAATCCAGTTCAACACAAAAAATGGTAAGTCCTGAGGTAGCGATAACCTATTCATCTTCATCAACCACGGGCACAGAAAACGCAACATTAACAAATTATGCCTACGGTAGAGGTCGGAAGCATGACCCTTTGACTGGGCATCGATTAGAGCCGAGCTGCTTATCGGTACTTTCCGTGCGCACAAGGCTGGCCGTCTAGTTTTGATCACTATGTCAGTTCAACAACCTCGGGTTAGAATTGTACAAAAAAGCCAAGAATGGACTGTGTGGGTTACAAAAATAGGGGTCCTAGGAAATCCACAGACAAGGTACGCCACGGAAACTGATCCTCAATGTTGCAAGCTGTCCCAGTGGCTCGTCCCCAGAAGCATGTGACCTTTTTGAACCTTTGGATACATGTCTGTGAGCCATGTTCTTTAGTAACGCTGACTCCGTACTTGCCAGAATTTTCCCATAGTGTCGAATATTATTGCTCTCGGGCCTTCGTCACCGAGCAAGTACATAATTAAATGTTAAAATAGATACAGTTTGTTTGTTAAGCGAAAAAGAGGAAAAAAAACTCAGACAGATGGCTCAGCAAAAGCAGAGCCTTATCTAATTGGATGGCTTCAAGAGGTTCAAGGGCCACTGAGTGACTGCGTCAAGCGATACGTCTCGCTGATTCGTTTTTATGGCAGATGGCGGAATCCCTCAGTCATGTTGCGACTATGTCCACAGTTTCCGGTCGCAGTACCAACATGGATGCCTTCTGATCTTATGACTGGTCATAGAGTAATACGGATAATTTATTCGGATTCATATCGATCGAAACTGAGCACGTGAATACTCTGCTGCACATTCAAAATCACTATGTCGTTAAGATGATCTGAGGCCTTTGGTTGTGCTCTTTACAACTGTTTATTTCATTTCTTTTATTTACTTATTTTGATGGTTCGTGAACAGTTTGGGTGGAGTGTGGAATAAAGTGAATCAGTGAACGGCTTTTCACTATACCTGGACGTGTCTGAACTTACCTTGCCATGTGGTTTCGCCAACTGCGTTGCATTCAGGTGAATCGTACTAGATTAGACAAATCAGGTGACACTGGGTCACAACAAAGCCGTCGCTCAAGAAACTCATTTCGTACGTCTATCAAGTATAGAAAGTACTCACAGGAATGTTACGGGGATGAGAAGAACATAATAAAAATGAATGGGGAATCAGATCAGCCATCAACCTCATCGCCAAAACTTGGCCGTCAAAAGTTACTCAGTACTGAAACAATCAGGAATCCAAAGCCGACCACTTCTGACCCTTCTGGGGAACTGAGTGAAGGCATTCGGACTATGCCAAATTTGGATCCCCTTCTGCTGTGTGTTTCCGAGGTCAAGTCAGGAACTGCAGGCTTCGACTATTTTGAAGATGCCTCACTCGTATTTAATGAAGACTTCTTTGAGGCTTCACTATCGCAAAATAACCCAAATGCGTCAAAACCTATCTTGAACGACTTGGAAGCCAGGTCAGTATTACAGGTTAATCCGTCTAATGGAATAAGACAAAAACCGGAACGAGAACAGTCGGGATCTAGAGGCCAGCCTCTTGAAAATTATCATCTGCAGATCCATCGAACAGAGGAACCATCCAGAGTAACTAGTATAAGAAGCGATCAGTCATTAGTTGGGACAAGGTTGGTTGATGAGAAATTGCTGCGTCAGTCTCGAGGCACAGTAATTCCCAATGGTTCAACAATTCACACCACAAATCTGCAAAACCCCACTTATTTGGAATGTCACATGCAATCATGTCCAGAGTCTGTTCTTTCCGGAGCTCTTCTCAAGCAAAGTAAACCTTGTTCCATACGCTCGGCTACCATCGTGAGTAACACAAAGAAGGAAAATGAGTTCGTTTGTTCGAATTATTTAGATAAATCTATTGACTTGAAACAGAATATTCCACCGTGTGAAGAGCGCTCGTCGCTCAAAGAAAGGGACCCTCGCCTTGTAAATGTTAGTCAGCAGCAAGGACAGCTCAACACGTTTATCTCCACTTGTGGCCGAGATTCACCAATAACAATAGAAATGACCCACATAGTGTCGCTGAGACGCGTAAAGCAAGGTGATGGAAGCACAATGTATGTAAAGGATACTCAACTTCGTAAATGTCAATGCGTTTGCACTTGTCTAAACAGTAAGAGTGCAGTTCATGAAGTAGAAAGTCAACCGGTGAGATTACCATGTTTACCCCTCGTAAACGAGGCCTGTCAAACCCCACAACAAATGGGTTACCTAATCGACAGTCGACTTCAGAAAACTTATCTTGATCAGCAACAATCCTCTCTAGATTTCCAGTCAGTCGACTCACGTCTCGCCACAGAGCCCGCCGAAGAGCCAGTAGAGAATACAGTAAAGTGCTGCGCAGCATCACAGTGTTACTCCGAACCAAACCAGAATGGTGAGCCAAAAGGCGTAACCAACAGGCAGTACCACACCAATTCCTTCCTAAAGCCACAACAGTCAACCAGTCATGAAGGCTCTTCTGAGTCAGTGATATGCCCCACGTGCTGTCCCACGAAAACGGAGCGGAAAACACAGCCACAAAGCAGTGTCGTGGCCAATGAAACTACGAGGTACAAATCGGATGTTACTGTGGTGGGCGTACGCCAAGATATGACAGACCCCTTGAGAAGACAGGACGACATGACAGATCTGGAGGAGCTCGAATTAGTTCGAAGGTCCAACCACGAAATCGGGACATACATTGGACGGTGCAACTGCCCAGACAAAACTTCCTGTGAGTGCGAATTACGGCGACCATTGGAGGAAGGAAGAGTATGTTGTGTGGATTATTCAACGCCTAAAGGGGGCTGTCTAGTAGAACCAGCTGCGATTAGAGTAGAAGAGAAGTTTACGCGTTCAGAAGTGACAGAGAAGGGCTCTGCGGTGGAGGATAAAGATGAAACTTCTAATCCGTGTTATTTCTGCTTCAGGCGTCGACGGAAATCCAAACTTCCTGAACCCGTTTCAAGAGAAATCGAATCATGGCCGGGAAATCTCGATAAGTCACAAGTGGTTTTTTACAGGTATGATGAAGAATCTCCCCCAAATACTTTAGTTTCCGCTGTCCGGTCGATTCAGTGCCCATCGGATCCTGGTGAATCGGTTGCGAGCTTGCAAATTTATAGATTGATGGATGATCCTAATCTACATAGCATACACGATGACAGAGTTTCAGAAGGAGGATGCGTCAAAGCTGCCACCATTGCACCAGCCACCGGCGTCAGGTATGTAAAATTGATAGATCCAGTAAAGTCGTACCGGGCTGTAGTGCATAGCGTGCCACGACCAAGTTGTGAGCGTACACCTTCAGAATTCGTGAACACAATCCCTGAATACTATCCGAAGAAGGAAGTGGAATATCGAAAGCCTTGCCACCTTCCACTAGGTACTGTAGTGGAACAGACTGTGCCCAAAATTCCCTCACAAGTTTGTTCCACATCAAATCTGACCAGCGAGCCAAGTCCCGTTTTGCATCCATGGCGTTGCTGCGACGTGAATACAGTAATGAACCCACCACTTCCATGTTCAAAACCCGCTGACCGCAACTTTTTTGCTCGGCCCGTTGACCCAATACCAACGCCCGCGAGGGAACTATCCATCGTAGAATCCCAACACATAGAGGCAGCAGAATATCCTTTGTCACCCTGTTGTCCATGTCCCCATGAGCGACCTCTATCTTTCATCCACATGCAACACGTCTGGCCGAACTGTTTAGCGAACTTGCCTTGGGCCTGTCGCTGTAAACGTGTTATGAACGACTGTTGTTCTTGCCCTCAGATAAGGTGGGGGTGTGACAATCTAACCTACCAAGGTGCTCAAACGCACTACTATAGCAAACCTGAGCGCTCGCAAGAGGGAGGGCTTTGTGAATGTCGGAACAGGTTGCTGACATGTCCACTTGCTTGAAAATTCCCAGATTCGTATGCAGCGCGATAACTTTTTGTGGCTAAATTACAGAGCGTATGGTAACATTTTTTTTCACTGTGTTCAACTTGTTTTTCATGATCCTTTTCTCGAATAAATTTTCCAAAGAGCGACACTTGATCTTACAAGGGTAGACTGATTACCTGAGGAATTCAGGGAAACTCGCACTAGGGCCCCATCTTCAGAAGACACAAAATACGAGCTCAATGGTCAGTGTGCTGTGATTTTTTGCGGGATAATCTTGTGGTGTGAGCAATTCCTGGTAATATTATCATCTGACTCCTGAAACGAGCTCCTATGAACAATGGAAGTTAGCACTCGTAGCCTACGTCAAATAAGTCATCAATGTATCGAGTAATACTTAAGAAGAAGCTCAAAGGGAACCACAGGTAATCATGAAGACCTGATCATAAACTACTTCGAATAAGTCACCGATCGTGATAGATACGAAAGTACGCTTGGAAACTTCCATAGGAATAAGGAGACATCATAAACCGCGTACAAATGAGAAGTAGATCTGTCTCGTTCATTTGTTGAGTGGGAATAATTAGGCTTCAGCTACTGGGATGACAAGTCCGCTAAACTGAAATAAGGCGAATTCGGGATAAAGTCGTGAAACTTGAAGTTACCCAACAGAATTTGTGAGTAAAAAGATACCGCAACTCATTGGGCTGAATCTCATGATGGTGGGCAGTGCTGGTGCTGCACAAGATATCTCACGAATCATCATCAACATTGTCAGTTGTAAGAACCGCGTACTCGTCCCATGAATATGTATCGCTGAAGTAATCAAAACATATGTTCCATTATAAGCATCTGTTAATTAGGATAGTGAGCCTACAGGACGCTGTTGATTGAGTGATCTTGTATCTAGGGAGGCGTTGAGTAAGCTGGTGATGAGTCCATAAGACTTTGTTGTGGAGTCCTGCACGAAAAACCAGGCAGGTTTTTTGAAGATTCAGCACACTGCTTATACTCCTGAGTGCCCTTCGACAACCCAACTCATAAACACATTTCCGTCAGTCTTATCTTTTAATTGAGCCCCAATTTTACACAGTCATCAAAATGTGCTCGATCGATCGTCCAGTTGTAACACCCTTTCGTTACCTAACTGCCATGCCACTCGAAGGAACCATGAAGGCTGCCAAGTTGCCCAAGCCTAGAAAAGAGAAGTCGAGATACAGAGGTTAGGTTCGCACCATGGACCTTCTGGTCAGTGAGTTCACGCTCTAACCACTGAGACATCTCGCCAAAAGTGCGCTCACTTGCAGGCTTATTTGATTTTAACAGGAGACTCAGCTGAATCCCAGCCAAGTCATTCGTTTATGATATTCTTCTAATGAATATGTTGAGCTAGGATGCCTCGTTTTCCGGTTGGTACGTTATTCGAGATATCGCAGCATGTCTTCTTGAAGAAGGAACACACTATTCATAATGTTTCTGAAAACAGTTCCACTACCCGGAATTGGATTTTGGATATCCAGGGGAAGCCCGAATGATGGATGTTGTAGTGTAATGTAATCCATCGAGAAGCTACATGATTAAAAGGGGCATACCTAATGTGATATGTTATTGAAAGTCTTTGAACACAAAGTTTCCTCAAGGGTAGCTATTATCCTTTTGAACAAGTGCATATCTGCCAGGAGCAATAGGTATCGTGTGCTTGGATCTCGTACATATCGCTAACGGACAATATGGGTGATTGCACATAGTTTCAAAACCTAGTTGCCCAGTCTGGTCTGTGTGACCTGGCACAACAGTAGAGCAGCAGTTCGGCCAGTCAGTTGAGTTTAATCGGCGGATGACCTAGTCCCCTTCGCAGTGAGAACATGCTGTTGGACGAGCGCAGAGTTGTGCGTACCTTATGTAGCAGCTCATGCGGTATCGCGAGGGTAATGGAGCCAAAGCACGTGAACAACACAGATTTACACAAAACTATTCGTCAGATCGTTTTTTATGAAAGGATGGGACAACAAGCATTAACCAGGTTGGCATTTATGTAATCTGAGTTTCACTTGTGACCATTTCACATTCCCAACCATTGAAATCTGTTTCCCGACCTCCTCTTAATATCTTAAAGTAGACTATTCAATCCTCGTTTCTGTTTACGCTATCTTGGGTAAATTATACCACTGCCGTCGGGGATCGGTACTTGTTTCCAAAACAACACTTTGTAACGGGAATGGGTTGTACTCCAGTTCTTGTCCTTCAAAAATGCGGTTTACTTCACAACGATAAGCATTGCGTTTTGGACGATATTGCAACTAACGTGCTGACTGTGTCAAGGTGTTTATGCAGTTATGCTTTGAGTTTTGAACCGAGTCATAGAATAACAACGAGAAACTGACCCTCATAAATAAGTGGTCTCGTGGTCGTATCTGAGTTCATGCTAAATTTTCGAATCGCTGTTTCAGCGTTTTCTTCTTGGAAGGATTAAGCAGAGTAAACTGACGTACGAAAACGCCTTTGTCCTTTTCGCCAAAGCAAAGGGAACCGTCTAGCATGGAATGCAAATAGTTGTGTGCTGCACATAAGTTGCACGCATAGGTGCATTACACAAAATATCATTGGGATTGTTTGGGTAACAGACTTGCGGGACACGCGATGAAAACGGTGAAGATTTATGTCCAGGCTAAAGTGATCACTCGAATCACCATCATTTAGACATTGATAAGTTAGCTATACGTATTTGGTTAATATTGATCAGCGGTAACTGGACCCTTGCTATTGCTATTTAGACATACTGAGTTCCTATCACATGGACGAATATTTTGGCGAAACTCGTAAACCGAGTCGCAAAGTTTTAGGTTTTGTCAGCAGACATTCGTACCATTTTGGCACTAATCCTAAAATACCTGATAGGGTACTTAAGATTCAGACTTGGACGAATGAATGGAACCTTACCGTCGTTTTTGTTCAGAGTCACTATTTGTTAGACGGTACTCCGTACAGATACCGCTTTATCGCTCGCAGTTGGGTGCCGTTACGGCCAAGAAGCCTATCCTGCACGCGATTGGTCAGAAGATCGGCGCTTGCCGGCGAGCTCTGATCGACCGAAAGTATGAACCCAGAAGCCGATGATGATTTAGTGTCTGCCCAATACCTGTTGACAATGGCGCATCCAGAAGGCGTCAGAATTTTCAGGATGTTGCCGCCGCACACACTTTACCTATGAGGCGCTGTACATGTCTTTTTGACCTGGTTTTGGGTGGTAATGCACGTTGTGCGCCCTTGTTGTTCCTTTGAGTAGAAAGCTAGCTTGAATGGTTCAGACCGAGAACTAGACTGCGAAAATACCGTTATTACAGTGTTGTTTATATTTTTTAGGTTAAGTGCAACCTGATTACCAGTTGCCTGGCGCCCTATGGATTTTTTTCGCTCATTTTGTACCCATCAGTGGAATTCACTGACAAACTGCTTGACACTAAAGGCTGAACACGGGATGGGAACAGGGCTCGTTCGCTCAACGCATCTCAAGGACTGAACGCACAAAAGCCATTTATTCTTCTCACATATTTCAGCTGAACTTCAATATAGAGTCACAAAATTTAGCAGGGATTCCAGGTTGAATGTCAAAGGGCATGACATAATGAATACCGTGCTACTGATGTATGGCGTGAACGCTAGTCATCTGGCTGCAGATTTTGTGCAATTCACTTGTATCATTCGCTTCCAAGGTCAAAGTAAAGTTACTGAATACTTAAGTGACGTAATATCTAGTTAATAACATATCTAGTTAATAACATGTGAACAAGTAGACAAGTCTGTTGGAACATACGATGAACTATTCGGAATTCGAGATGACTGATATCGTAGTTTCGACATATTTTCTCGCAATTGATTCACATAGGAGGGTGAATTGGTCGGAGTTTCCAAAGTGGACGAAAAGTATTCTCCGGGAATGCGTAAAGTTGTTCCGAAAACTAACTCTGCTGGTGAACAATGCAGTGAGGAACGAAACATGGTGCGTAGGTGTAGTAATATCACTGGTAACATGTCGTACCAATTACTGGGATCATTGTTAGCTATAATAGCGGACTTCAAGTGACGATGAAACCGTTCGACTAATCCATTTGCCTGAGGATTATAAGCCGTCGAACGTATGTGTGTGCAACCGAGCAATTCCGTTAGATGTCGGAATAAGTGGCAGTCGAACTGCGACCCGCGGTCAGTGGTGATATACGACGGAACGCCGAATGTGGAAATCCATCGGCTAACAAATGCTCGAGAAACCGTGTCTGCAGATATGTTTTTGATGGGGATGGCCTCAGGCCATCGAGTGAAACGGTCTACAATAGTGAGTAAGTAGGAGTAGCCGTTGGATGGGGGTAGAGGACCAACAATATCCAAGTGTACGTGATCGAATCTACTGTCAGGAGCAGCGAAAGTTCCTATGGGTGATCGTGTATGCCGAATAACCTTAGAACGCTGACATGCTAGGCAGGTCTTAGTCCATTCACGTATGTCTTTGTTCATTTCCGGCCATATGAAACGCTGAGAGATGAGTTTAAGCGTTGAACGTATACTTGGATGCGAAACATTATGTAATGACTCGAAAACTTGCCGACGCATGGAGGGTGGGACTAGGGGTCTTGGATTAACTGTCCCAGTATCACAGTCTATAGTTCCTGGTGCGGTTTGTAGCGGCATCGGTTGTATCTTCAGGGATGACTTCGAACTCAGTGGCGTCGAAGCTAATTCCTTTTTTTGAAGTTCCGCCATGCGATTGAGATCAATGCCGGGCGTACGGTGTAGCGAATCTACTGCCGGCCTTGACAAGGTATCGGCAACTATGTTATCCCGACCTGAGACGTGTCGAATGTCGTTGGTGAACTGCGAAATGTAGTCCAAATGGCGAATTTCACGCGGAGAATATTTGTCCGGTGTAGCTTTTAGTGCTGAAGTCAATGGTTTGTGATCCGTATATACATGAAATTCGCGACCTTCCAGTAAGTGTCGGAAGTGACGGATGGATAGGTAAA